TATGCTCTGAATGGAGGACTTGGAACAGCATCTAGTGTGGCTGAGAAGGCCAATTCGAGAGTGACAATCCCTTCCACACTGAAGACAAATGCAATCTGTCCCCTGTCCAGCTACCTGATTTTCCTGCCTCTTGGCCTCGGCCTGCTGGACAAGTGTCTCTTCAAATTGGGAGAGGCCATGATGCAACGCCTGCCTCCAGGCTGAACGGTCAGATGTCAAGGTTTCCCATCTGTTGAGGTCCATTCCTAAGGCCTTCAGATCCCACTTGCAGATATCCTTGTATCACAGCTGTGGTCTCAATGAACCTACATGTAAGACAAATACACATTTGTGCTTGTTTTGACATATAAAGCCCTAAACGGCATGGGCCCTGGATACTTGAAGGACCGCCTCCTTCCATATGAGCCTACCCGGCAGTTAAGATCTAGCCAGGGGGCCCTTTTGAAAGAGCCATCCTTCAAGGAGATAAGAGGGATGGCTTGTAGACAAAGGGCCTTTTCGGCAGCTGCCCCCAGACTATGGAACGCCCTCCCAACTGAGATTCCTCTGGCGCCAACGCTGATGATATTTCAGTGCCAGATCAAAACCTTCCTATTCCAGAAGGCTTTTAATTGAAATAATATCAACTGTGGGTCCTGATGGCAATTTTTAGAGTATCTATTTTAATTGTATTTTAATTTTTTATCTTTTTAATTGTATTTTGATTGTTGTAAGCCTCCCAGAGACCTTTGGGTAGAGTGGGCGGCATATAAGTTAAATAAATAAATTAGAGCAGACCTACCTGCACCAAAAATGCAGAAGCCCCTAAGGAAGTTTCCAAAAGGTGTATGTAGGGGTGTTGTGGGGGCAAATCGGTCCACTCTAGTGATTATGTTGTGTGGTTGTTGGGGAAGGAGGGGAAGTGAACCAGTCTGTTCCTACAATACAGTATACCAAACAGCAGGACAAATGCCCTTCTGAATGAGTCCTTGGTGAGCTTTCATGGACTTGTAACTTTCTTGATGTGATGGCTGAATGTGTGGGAAATGATGGACTGAGAACATTACTAATCAGTTTATGCAAACTAGAAAAATACTGTATATGTGATTTCCTTCTGCAAATAGACATGGGCTGGAACCCTATTGGTGTTTATATATGGTTTGTATAACTTGCTGTAGCTAATTCTGACTAATTGACGAGTCTCTGTGCACATTATATGATCCAGCATGTGATCAGGTGTGCCCAAGTGGTGCCTTTGTATTTGTTGCTTAGCCAGAGCAAATTATGTGATCTTTACTCAAACACTAATATGATTCTGATCTTTAATTTAAAATAGAGATGAAAATTTAATCCAATGGTTTTAATCAACAACCAGTAAGCTGTAATGTATTTTCGATGAGTCTCTGTGCACATTACGTGATCCAGCATGTGATCAGGTGTGCCCAAGTGGTGCCTTTGTATTTGTTGCTTAGCCAGAGCAAATTATGTGATCTTTACTCAAACACTAATATGATTCTGATCTTTAATTTAAAATAGAGATGAAAATTTAATCCAATGGTTTTAATCAACAACCAGTAAGCTGTAATGTATTTTCCCTCCTTCTGGAGCCTTTCAAAGTCTTAGGAAACAGGTCCTGCATTTGACCATGTTAAATAAGACACAGAATTATTATTGTTTTTCTCTGATCCTGATAAGGAAGGATCAATAACAAGACCTGACTACCGATTCCAATGAAATGTGCTTCTTGGAAAGAAAGTTGAGAGCCAAAGCGTTGAAAGTGTGATGCTTGGACAGTTGTAACAGGTAGACAGAGAGCTGACAACAGGTATATTGAGAGAAGGGTCTGATCGGCTGGATCTTTTGGGAGAACTCAAAAGTTGATCGAACTGGAGCAATCTTGCTGCTGCATTTTGAAGCACCAGAGAACATTCTCAATTAAAACTATTACAATCACATGCATCTCAGAGGCCAGAAACTATTTACCAGGCCATTTATTTTTGGTTTCCAAACCTGTTTGGTTACATGTTGTAGCATAACAGGGATTTGAGCCAGGATGAATCAGAAAGTTGATTTTTGTCCTCTGGTGGTTTTTAAAAACAGGTATTTGCACAAATGCACACAGAACTCTGCAAGAGGGGCTGTGAGAGAAGCCACTTAGAGAGCAGTGGGGAAGACAGAAACAGGAGTCGCCACTCTTCTGTGCCTGCCTTTTCTGCACTTCTGACTGGCCCTCCCTTCCCTCCGACCCTGGCTGCTTTTTTCCATTTTTTAAAAAATGCAGCAAGCTGTGGTTACATGTCTTAGTGTACAATATGTTGTGAGAAACTGACAAATGCTTCTCCGCTGGTGTGCTGTGGCCTCTTTTAGGTGACTTTTATAAAATGACCAAACCCAGTAAGTTGTTATGTGCCATGGAGTTGGAACTGACTTCTAGCACCCCTAATAGGAGTTTCAAAGTTAAGTGAGATATTTAAGGAGTGGTTTTACCAATTCCTCTCCCTCAGTCAGCTTCCATGGCTGAATGGGGATTTGAACCCTGTTCTCCAGAGTCCATCACTCTATCCACTGTACCACACTGGATATCAAACCCAGTACAGTCCCATTAAAATCAGAGTGACCACTCTGAATTGAAGTGTCTGAGGATTTCCACTCTAATGGCAGCTCTAAAACCCACCTCAGTTTTCACCAATTACAGGCAAATGTAAGAAGGCAGGCTTGATAGAGGGTCATATTTTCACTTCTGTGACTCCCGGCTAAATGCATACTCTACTACATGAGTTGGCATTGTGTTCCTTTATTTTCCATTTCTTTATGTCCCAGGTTTGCTCCGCTTTCACAGCAGAACAAGGAATCTACAATCATGTGAAAATCCACCACGGTTACACGAATGTCATTGGTCTGGGAGACTCCAGTACATGGAAGCTTCCTTTCCTGAACCGCTATGTTTACATGTTCCTTGCACCTCTTGCTGTACCCATTATCACCCCTTTAGTGGCAATTGGTAGGTTGCTCTCCTTTCCATCTTATTGCTTAACTTACTGCTGAACCCTCGACCTAGTGATACTGGAGCAGAATCAAACTAGATTTTAGTATAACCCTTAGCAGAGAAAACGCAGGCCTCAGAGAAATCCCCTCTCTATGAGGCCTATGTTTTCTCTGCTAAGGGTTATACTAAAATCTAGTTTGATTCTGCTCCGGTATCACTAGACCATTTTAAGGTGCTAAATGCAGAATGCCATTACATTTCTTTATGCATTAAGATCCAGCGTGCCTCTTCCACCTCTCTCTGTGCAGACTTTATTCTTTGACTGGAAAAGGATAATTTATTTATTTATCTATTTATTTACTTCGTACATTTATATACTGCCCCATATAGTGTAAAAGCACTATTCTGGGTGGTTAACAGTAAGTTAAAACCAATACCAAAACAAACAAAGACTTGAAAATTCGCCATATAAAACCCAGACAGCACCCAAACAGTTTAATCCAACTTTATTTCCCAAAGCATGACAGTGTACCAACGAGACCTTTCCAGCTCCCCAACTCAATTTGGGTCACGAGGTGCCATAGGCAGATAGACATCCCTATAGGGCAGGAGTGATGGGGCTAGGATGGGCCAAGCACTGCACTCAGCCTCCATCAGTCCCAGCTAACACTGCCCATGGTCAGAAAGGGAGGTGTCATCTAACTTTTGGAGGGCTATACATTTTCTGCCACTTTTTGATGTCAGAGTTCCAGGTTTTTGATGCAAGCAAGACAATCACCTAGGTTTGCTGGCCCATTCTCCCTGTGGGGAAATTCCTTCTTGACCTTAAGACAAAACCTGTTCATTTCATCTCACCAAAGCTAGTGTTACTGGGAAGTTACTGTATGCTATCTGACAACCATATATGCTCGTAATTTCCAGTCAAATAACTAATGAGCATTTTAACAGGGTTCTTTTTTTTTTAACCCAAGACTGTTTTAACCTTCCCATCTGTCAGACACAGAACACAAATTAGAGTTGATTACATTTTGAGGCAAAATCCTGCCAGTTCCAGAACTGCAACAGGATTAAGATCTATGATTAGGATATAATAAACACACAAGCAGGGTACGCTGACATCATTTAAAAATGACATCCTTTTAGGCTTTTCAATTAGGAAGATGCTGCTCAGAAAGGTGTGGACAGTGTCATCTTAGGGGCCTGAACGGCTGTACTGACCAGGACAGAGACAGGATCTCTAGAAAACACCCTCCCCCAACTGCATGATTTTTGTCCATCTCCGTAGGCTTTCTTTGGTCTTCTAACATCACATCTATACATTGCTCTCCTCCTCTTTTCTCCTTTACTGAAGGCCCTGCTAAAAAGCTCCCCAGATCTTGCAAGCCCTGATTTTATTGCCGTTCAGTATACTGAAATCCTCACCCAGCACTGTAACCACAAAACAAGACCCTTGTGATGGAAAGGTCTTGTCTTTTGGTTGCAACGCTTGATGGGAATTTCAGGAGAAAAATTTAGATCCAAGACACTCAGGTTCAGTTTCTTTCTGATTCCATTCCTCTCTTCCCCCCCTTCTGCACCTGTCTTATTAACAGACAGTTGCAGAAGGGGGAAAAGAGGAACTGAATTAGTGAGTTTCCTCTAAGTGAGTTTCATCTAAGTCATGTGTGATGTGAGGATAGTGGCCAAAATCCCATTGCTTAGCACAGTAAATGGCGCTGGAGTAGGCCTATTGAATCAAGGGGGATTTAACAAGTCACCTGCTCCGTAACTTCCTTTGATTCAAATGGGATAATTCTAACTGCAAGTTGCTTTAGGATACTAAGTCACAGCTAAAGTGGGCCTGTTTGAATCAATGGGTCTTACACAGGAGTTGACTCGCAATTTACTAAACTAAGCAACAGGATTGTGGCCAATGATTTCCTTCAATAGTAATTTAGAAATTGTTTGAAAGAACAAGTGCAGTGCACTCCAAATTCGATCAGAGCAGTAGCTCTAGGGGGAAAGTGGTCCAAACAAGGAAAAACTGTCTGTCGATATTTCCAAACACTGAGAAATATGATCACCCACCTTCTAAACCATGCTTGGTTTGCCCCATACAGAAATGTTAACAAAAGCCATACAACAGACATAACATGCTTCAAGTCCTAAAGGTTTTTGAGGTGATTGGCTGTCAAAAGGGCTAAATAATCAAATCCTGCAGCTATCAGCTGCATCAATGGCAGACGTCATGGGGTCCCATGGAAATTTGATTCCCAAAATTGGCGCCTCATTTTCTGTTTTATGGCGCATCAACTAGATGACAGGCTTGAAAGCTGCGCCTCATTCATGGATTGCTTTTTCCATAGGCTTGCTCAAAGAAGTTCAGTTGAAAACAGCCATCCGAACCGTGTGTTGTATATTTATTGGCCTGTACTCCCATTACTGGCTGCTGCTTAATATCTCAGGGTTCCAGTCTGTGTGGTCTGCTCTCAGTTGTATGCTGGTCACACGGTCTCTCCTTGCCCATCCTTACATCCATGTTAATATCTTCCAGGTAAGAGCTACCTCCTCTAGAATACATTAAGAAGTGTAACAAATCTATGGCTTCTTAGGACATTATACGGTGTTTAGGGTTTAGAGATAATAATTATGTGCTCTCAAGTTAATTTGGATTTATGGTGATCCATTTCAGAGTTTTCTAGGTAGAGAGTATTCAGAATTGGTTTACCAGCCCCTTCTTCCGAGGGTGTCCTGGGGCTGTGCAGCTTACCCATGGCTGCACAGGCTGGCTCTACTCACAGGAGGCACAGTGAGGGGAATCAAACTCCCAACATTTAGCTCTGCAGCCAGTATACCTAACTCACTGAGCTATCCAGATAACTGCCTAGAAATAATGAGTTATAACAATATACCTAACTCACTGAGCTATCCAGTTAGAGATAACTGCCTAGAAATAATGAGTTATAACTAGTTATTTCCCTCCAGTGATGAAGGTACAATGAATTTACATTGCAAGTGTAATTCGATGACAGATAATATCATCATTTTATGGTATAAATTAAATTTCTTAGTTAATTCTAACTAAGAAATTTAATTTATCATTTCTAAAATGATAAATTTCTGAAATGACAAATTAAATTTCTAACTAAGAAATTTAATTTGTCACTTAGTGTCCAACCAAGATGGGTTTACCAGGATTTGTGTCCAAACCTCTCTTAAAAAATCAGTTTCCTTTATTTTGACTTTGTAAGAGAGCAGCTTTTCTTTAAGAATTCTATAAGAATTTTAAAAGAAATGTTTGAGAGGTACTCTTCTGTGCTGGAATATTGTGGGGTAGGTTCTAACCGGAAGCTTCCAACCAAAAAGACTCTCATCATGGAAGTCAGCTTCAAAGAGGAAGTGCTGTGGTACTAAACCCAAACCTGGTATGAACCCGAAAAGGAATAGAAAGTCATGGGGAAAAACACTGTACTGTACTGATATAGACTAAAGAACATTGTATAGATGGCATTGTATGCTCATTGTTTTTTAGCTTTAATTTTTAAAAAAATTAAAAGTGCATTTTAATGATGTAAGCGAACCTATGGTCCTTTTAAAGGAAAAAGTGAGAGTAAAAATATTTTAAATAAAATAAATAATAAAGAAAATGGCTAGGAAAAATACTGATAACATTAGAACATAAATTGGTTCTTTAGGGATAACAAATGATCCGTCTGGAAGAAGCCCAAATGTCCTTTTCAATGTAAGAGTTGGATTCAACGATGGAGAGGAGCAGTGCGTGGTTGTGTGCTGGCTTGTGGAGCTCCCTCAAGCTCCTTTGTGTGTAGCTTGATGCAAGGATGAAGCCGACAGGAGAAGAGCTTGCTGCTTATCAGAGTAGCCTTGTTGCATTCAGATTTTAAAAAGTGATGAAAAGAAACTATTCTAGTTTACTTCAGAGGATCAGAAAAATATAAAGTTTTATTTTTAAATGAGTTGTAACTGCATACGGGAGCAAGGTTTGGGGCTTGGGCTGTTGCTGTAACAAAGTATGCTCTTAAGGTTTCCACTTTTTAAGATATCCTGTTTTCCTCCAGTTGAGAGATGAAAGTTTACAGAATCTGCAAGGGGGGTGGGGAAAGAACTAGAATTTTTTTTTAAAAAATGATATTTTAAAACAAGAGCAGAAACAATACATTGCAGAAAAATCCGTGGAATTCGCAGTGACTCCTTTTTGCTGCTCATAACATAAGCCCTACTACTCTGGTTTAAAACAATGGTACCAATCTTCATTTTTAAAAGTGCACAAGGGCTTCCGTTCCAGCTGTTGTCACCAGCTGGCTGGTGCTGGGATGATTTCCTAGTTATTAACATTGCTGGGGTTGGGATAGCAGAGTCCTCACCCGCTTGGCATGGTGCAAAAATGGAGCCCCTGCAGCTGCCTCTCCGGCCAGTATTGGGAGGCAACACCCAGTATTGGGAGGCTTCCTGGCTACCTCAGTACAGGCTAGCCAGTGAGATNGGGGGGGGGAAGGCAGCTCCAGTGGCTCAGTTTCTGCCGCCTGTTGAGTGACTGAGGCCGCTTCAGCAGCGGCTCCAACCCCGACACTGGCCAGCTGGAGATATTGGCTGGAACAACACATCCTGTTTCACATTAAAACAGCCCATGTGCTGCTAAGGGGCTCATGCCTGTTTGCAGGTAACCTGCTATAATTCCTTTGCTGTGGGTTATTGCAAATATGTCATTCCAGCTTTCTGCCGCCTGTTGAGTGACTGAGGCCGCTTCAGCAGCGGCTCCAACCCCGACACTGGCCAGCTGGAGATATTGGCTGGAACAACACATCCTGTTTCACATTAAAACAGCCCATGTGCTGCTAAGGGGCTCATGCCTGTTTGCAGGTAACCTGCTATAATTCCTTTGCTGTGGGTTATTGCAAATATGTCATTCCAGCTACGAAGAAGTCTTCCCAAAAACAGCATACAGTATGAAGATTACTCTCCCGTGTATAGTTGTTTGGGAATAAAGAAATGTATTTGAATTCCCGCTGAATTAAAGGGAATGCTAAATGGAACAAACTCTGTGAAACTTACTTCCATGATTTTCTTGATAAAATATTGGAGAAAGCTTCTGGACCTGATTATATTCATCACTTTTCTTGCCTTTTAGATGATCCTCAAATAACTGGAATATTTCCCCAAAGTCCTGTTCTGTGCCATTTTTCTGTGGGCTGCTGCTTTCTCCTCCAGACCCTGGAACCCAGAAACTGCAAAGGCTATGGAAAATATTATTACTGAGTTAGCAGAGGTAGCCATGTTTGTCTGTGCTAGCCTATCAGGCAAAACCAAAAGAAAAACAAAGACAAAAAAATATTGTGGCACCTTAAAGACTAATGTGAGCTTTCGTGGACAAGTGTCCAAAGAAGTAGACCTGCTCATAGAAGCTCACATTAAAATATAACAATCTTTGTTCACACCTTGTTTTTGTCTTTTAAATTTTTCTTTTGGTTTTGCCTGATAGAAGCCTCGGTGCTGCAAGGTCAGAAGACCTGCAGTAATAATAAGATCGAATCCACACAACGGAGTGAGCGCCCATCGCTTGTCCCAGCTCCCGCCAACCTAGCGGTTCGAAAGCATGCAAAATGCGAGTAGATAAATAGGGACCACTTCGGTGGGAAGGTAACAGCGTTCCGTGTCTAGTCGCGCTGGCCATGTCGCCACGGAAAATTGTCTTTGGACAAATGCTCACTCTATGGGTTGGAAACGGAGATGAGCACTGCCCCCTAGAGTCGGACACAACTAGACAAATTGCCAAGGGGAACCTATACCTTTACCCTATCACGGATATTATTCAAATTTCTGAAAACTAAGCTGTCTCCTTTCCTCTCAGCTTTGCTATTGAAGATCTTTGGCCCTAAGATTTCACAATGAAAAATCAGAAGTTGTTCTTAACTTTGTACGGCTTTTGTTGTTGTAGCATATTGGCCTTCCAATGTTTTCAGCTGAGAGGAAGCCAAAACGGATTCATATGATGTCCTGTGGCGTTCTGAACTTGCCTCGAAATCCTCTGCTGGACTGGTCCTTTGGGCACTCGATCATCAGCTGTCACGTGGAACATCATCTCTTCCCAACACTTTCTGATAACATGTGCCTGAAGGTGCGAGGTTGAGAGTTGCAAGCTATAAGTGTTTTAAAGGGAAAGAGTGGGAGGAATCAGTGCCTGCAAGGACGGTGTCAGGAAGAAAAAGCCAGGGAGTTCATGTCAGCTCACTATCACAATTTCTTGAGATGATGCACATTATGTTGTGTTTTGTTTGAAGAATTTAGCGTTATGCTTTTCTTTCAACGAGAGGCTCCCCTCCTCACATTATATTCATAACTCTATGATGTACGCAGGTCAGACTGAGAGAGAAACAGAGTGACTGATCCGAAGCAATCCAGCAAGCTTCATGCCTCTGTGGAGACAAGAGTGCAGCTCACTCCAGTACCAGCTCAGAATTTTAGCCATTAAATCAGACTAGTTCACTATTTTTCTGAAAAACTAGTTTTAATGAATCAGTAGCTGCATGATCATTAAAAATGGGGGAAAGGGATCCAAATCCCAAATAACATTCTGCCAAAGGTTTGTAGAAATTGGGCTACGAGTCCTTATTTTTATTTTATTTTTGTGCAGTTAGAAAATGGGGTGTAAAGTCTGGATTTGATCCTGTTCTAAAATATAATGAACATTACTGGTGATTCTAATATTAAGTCATTCATCAGTGTTGCCTTTTCCTTTTAGATCAAGCCCATTGTTTCCCAGTACTTGACAGAGAAGAAATTGCCATACAATGAGGATTCTTACTGGTCCCGCCTGAAGTTGTTCCTGGACAAGTATGAAGAGCTGATGATCCATGCACCACCTATTTCTGAACTTGTTGGGATTCAATGATGGCACTTTAGGACAAAGCCATTATAGCCATAAGACAAAAGTGTTCCTTTTTTAAGGTTCAAAAAAGTGTAGAACCCAATTTAGGGTCTGATCCAGCCTTTAAGAAGAAAACCAGCATGTGTTTAATGTCTTCCATAAGAATGACTATGGTGAAGAAATGCCAGCCACTTGGTGATGGTTTTAAAGGAAAAATCAGTAGCTCCAATATAAAAGAACCAGAACAGAAAAAGAAATATTGACATTTTGAATTTTTTTTCAGTGCTTTTACTTTCGGACAACAGTGTCCTTGATGCAATCTATTCTGTTCTCCTGCTTTATAATTCAGGGAGGAAATTAGAAGGGCTCATTTGTGTGGTATTTCCCCCTGTCTTAAACAAAGATAATTTCCATGTCAGAAGACACTTCTACACCATAGGATGCTTCCAGATGTTTGTTGGTGCTGCTATGGCTGTTATTATCAAAAGGCACTGTGCGGGTATTAAAGGATTATTTTTGTTTGGTTCTATATAATTTTGCTTTGTTCCATGTAAACTGCCCTGTATGCTAATACACACACACGCACACGCACACGCACACGCACGCGCACGCGCACACACACACACACACACACTAGATATAGTGGGAACATATGGGGAAACAACAAGGCCTGCACCAATTTGTAAATTCCTATGAACAAGACTTTACAAATTCCTATGAACAACACGGGGGACGTGGTGGCGCTGTGGGCTAAACCGCAGAAGCCTGTGCTGTGCACGGTCAGAAGACCAAGCAGTCGTAAGATCGAATCCACACGAGAGAGTGAGCGCCCGTCGCTTGTCCCAGCTCCCGCCAACCTAGCGGTTCGAAAGCATGCAAATGCAAGTAGATAAATAGGGACCACCTCGGTGGGAAGCTAACAGCGTTCCGTGTCTAAGTCGCACTGGCCATGTGACCACGGAAGATTGTCTTCGGACAAAACGCTGGCTCTATGGCTTGGAAACGGGGATGAGCACCGCCTCCTAGAGTCGAACACGACTGGACAAAAATTGTCAAGGGGAACCTTCACCTTCCTTCATGAACAAGACAGGGCAGTTGCATAATAAAAGCCTCATCTAGATGCACATTAAATTATATCAAGAGCTGTGTGCAAAGTTTTCTCATCTTGACTGTGTAGCTGAGATAGCCAACAGCAGGTCAGATCTGTGAATCTACGACCTATCATATGCATAAATTTCATACAGTACACCTGTGCTCCCAATGTAGAGGGAGAGGAAACAATGCATAGTAAAATATATATACATGTCGATAACTTGACAGGAAGCTGGGATATGATGTGTTAGGCATCTGCAGATACAGAGTGTGACCCAACATAGACCAACTCAGTCAAAATGTCTAAAACATAGAAGACACAATCTGATTCAGAATGTGAAATTCACTAAGGTTTCTGATCAAAACTTTGAACCTACAATGTATTTTACGTATTTAAGATCTTTCTATACTGCATCTCAACAAAGTATTTTCAAGGTGGTTTACATCACATGCTTAAAAACAATCAATAACAGCTGGCTGGATAGCTCAGTGAGTTAGGTATCCGGCTATGGAGTCAGAGGTTGGGAGTTCAATTCCACCATATATCCTAGAAGAGCCAGCCTGCGTGGCCTTGGGGGCAAGCTGCACAGTCCCAGGATGCCCCCAGAAGAAGGGAATGGTCAGCCACTTCTGCGTATTCTCTACCTAGAAAACCCTGAAAAGGGTTTCACTAAATCAGAATTCACAGACACAGAAGGGGTGGGCAGACTGATGAACTAAACCAAAGAACACCATTATCTATCAGTAGCTCCTAGAAAACATACCAAAATGATGGGGAGGGGGGAAGGTGGGTTATTTCTACATGGCACACCAGTGGACTCAATGTGGTGGCAGGCAAACTAACAAGAGGGTCCTGTCATTGAGAGACCAGAATCTCCCTTAGCCCTTACCTAGAAATTATAAGGACTGAACCTGGGACCATTTTAGCATTCATGTCCTCAGGAGGCTTCAGCAGAATCATACCCATGATCTTGCTTCCTAAGGATTACATCAGTGGTTAACCTTTTTGAAAGAAATGCCCCCTTGAACCATTGAGGAAGTTATCATAGCCCCCCTCCCTGAGGTGATGATATCTTACCTCCCTACCTACCCTACCTACCCTACCTACCCTCCCTCCCCACCTGGTGCGAGGCAGCGCTTCACAGGGCAAGGATGAGGACCCAAGAGACCCTTTCCTTCCACCCGATCCACACTCAGTGCTCCCTTAAAGGAGACGTGGCAGGTAGAAAGAGCTGGATCATCTGGCGGCGGCGGCAGCAGCACTGAGCGCCCCCACACCGCCCCTTTTCGTTCTACCGTCCCCCCTGAAAAATGAAATCGCCCCTGGGGGGCATTATCGCTCATGTTAAGAACCACTGGATTACATGAATGTTACCCACATCAAGGCCTTCTTTACTTTTCTTTACTTTTTCACCTTTACTATGGTGATCTATGCCTACAATGCCCTTCTGTATTCTACATAAGATGAAGAGGACGAAGTGTGCGCAAAAGAATTAATGGATACAAACCTGACATCAAGAATGGCAACACTGAAAACCTTGTTTCAGAACACTTCAATCTGCCTGGATATTCTTTGAAAAGAAAGCTTTGTTACCTTGTAGACTTACAGGCAGTAACCGCTAATTGAAATTATTCACAGCTTGATAATTCTATTCCTGTACAAACCAGCCCTTGTCACTTTGTCCATTATCTGCATCCCCCTCACCTGGCCATGTAACCATGTATAAATATCACACAATGTCACTCCTTGAGGAAGTGGACTTGATGTACAAAAGCTCACATTAAAATATAGCCTTAAGAGGTCAAAACATTTTAAACTTTTATTTTGATTTTCTTTGTTTTTGGTGGATATGCTCACATAAAACAAAATGGCTACTTCTTTGAAAACGAAATGCTTCACGTATATTTTAGGAAGCCTATCTATGCATTATAATCATTTTCCTTTTTCTCTTTCAAATCGCTTTCTTTCCATTTTAAGTTGAAACTAGGGCTTTATCATTTCGGCTTCGAAACAAACACTGTGTGGAAATAATTCAGAGCCAGCTGACAGGGTAAGTTTAACTGATCCAATTTTTCACCCGTCCTTTTCTATTTATTTGTTCATTAAAGGCTTGATTAATCATCATGATGAAGTTCCTCTGTGATTTACAGAGACGACAGTGCTTCCCAAACCAATACACCAAGGCAAAGGAAGCGGGGGCGGGGAGGATTTAACTGAGCTTTACTTCGATACCATTTCAGATTGTGTGAAGAGGTTAATCCCAGGGCCACATGCTGCTAAGATAATTACAGCTCAGTTTGGAAACAATCATGTTTGACAAGCTCTTATCCTGTTCTGAATAAAGCTTAAGTATTCAGTGCATATATACAGTATATGCACTGAATTCTATCCAGATATATATGGATAGAATTTACTATTGTATTTATGCACAATTTGCTACTGACAGCAATAGAGGTAACTGAGGGTTGTGAGAATCTTTGGGCCTCACCATCCCTTAACATCAGCCATGTTAGATGAGGCTGACAGGAGTTGCTGACCAAAATATCTGAACGACCAAATGCTTGCCAGACCAATACAGATACTAGTAGCACAGTTCTATGCAGGTCGACTCAGAAATAAGTTGTCCTGGGTCCAGTGCAAGCATATAGGACTGCAGTGCTTGAATGAGGGTCATACTACAGATCTAAAATCTACAGGCATGATGAACCTTTGGCACTCCAGGTGTTTTGGATTACAACTCCCAGAATCCCCAGCCTCTATGGCCAGTGATAAAGGACTAAAGGAGTTATAGTCCAAAAAACATGGGGTGCCAAAGGTTCACCCCTCCCCCTAAGGACCTGTTTACACTATTAATCTGACATCAATAAAGGCAGATATTTTGTATGGAATGTAGGAAAAGGATAAAAATATATTGTCCCATTCTATCTATAATAAAATACAAGGGGAAAACCTATTTCACAAGAAGTTTCTTTATACAACAAATCTTTCTTCATTAATTTCATAGCATTACACAATGTAAAATTATGGACGTGATAATTTTACATAACATACTTGTCCAAATCACTATCTCCAAATCCAAACATGCTTACACAGTTTTGAACAGAAAATTATTACTATGCAACAGTGCAGCTGGATAATTTTAGAGCTTGGACGTAGTGGTCGCAGGGTGGAAATTCAACAGACTGTAGATTTATTTATTTATTTATTTAGTTTGTTTAATCCATAATCCCCCAGCTACTATGGCCACTTCCATGATTTTAGAAGTTGTGCTCCAAAAAATAACATTTCCACACTTTGAACTTTGCACAACCATGTGTACTACCCTGTTTCCCAGAAAATAAGACAGGGTCTTGTATTAATTTTTGCTCCAAAAATGCATTAGGGCTTATTTTCAGGGGATGTTTTATTTTTTTTTTCATGTACAACAATCTACATTTATTCAAATACTCATGTCATCTTCTTCTGGTTGCTGCACAATAGTGGAGGGTGGGGTTTCATTTAACTGGGGCTTATTTTGGGGGCAGGGCTTATATTATGAGCATCCTGAAAAATCATACTAGGGCTTATTTTCAGGGTATGTAAGTTATGAAGAACCACTAAGATTTCTCTTTTACCACCCTATTCTTTTCTGTGCTTTGCGGTTGCTTCCACATTCCTGATTACAGGAGACCAAAACTAAACCAAACATTGACAGTTACTTTTATAAACACCATGTTGGGTTGTTGCCAATATTCTTTCAATATAAAATTAAAATGATCACATGCAACCATGTACATGTGCTGGTTAGCCCTACCCTATCTATAAAATCTGTCTTCCACTGCCTCTGGGAGAGCCTGGCGTGCTCTGGTCCATGGGGTCACAAAGAGTTGGACACGACTAAACCAATAAATAACATCTATAAAATATTTTCAAAAACAGGGGAGAAAGGATGCTGCAGCTAGTAATATCAGCCCTGTATCATATGCCAGTGGTGGTCCTGGGGCTGACATGGGCTTGTCTGCTCCTGCCCTCCTTGCCTACCACAGCCTGAGAGATCATATGGGGTCCTCCTGGGTTGCAAAGTCGTGAACCGAAGCCTCAAAATACAGCCCGCCTGCAGTATCCATTTCCTTAAAACAGCTTCCTCTCCCTGCACCGTTTCTCTGAGCTCAGAGGGACATCCAAACAGTAGCCCTTTCAGTGCTTGGATACACTTGAGAAGAGTTGTCATTCCACAGCTAGCATCACCTGACTACATATATGGTTTTCTTTGGCAAGTTGCAGTGCTTTCACTGCATTTTTTTAAAAAAGAAGATGTGCTCCCTGTATTTATTATATCAAGTCACAAGCTGTGTCTTTGGACTTTTCTGTTTCTGCAGATCATCACCTGTGCAATACCCAGCCTGATGAAGCTCGCTTTTGGGGAATGTGTTAGTGATTTAATAAATCTATTACCCAATCCTGATGTCACATTGGATGGAAAACAAAT